AAACTCCGAAAAGATTTTCAACGCCTTATTCACCCCCCTCTAAGGCGTGGGCACAACGACTAAATCGACTAACAATTGGTATCAGAGCGGTTTCCTAGTTGAAAGTGCTTAATCGCATCTACGACAAAGATCCACTTGTTGTGTCCCTTTTAAATTTGAATTTTAAGATCTCAAAACCTTATCTTCCCTAATTTTTTAAAAATTCAAATTTATTGAAAAATGGCTCAAATGGATTCCCAAAGCATTCACCGCCCTCCGTTTTTTAATAGCCAAAATTATTCTTATTGAAAAATGCGGATGGAATATTTTATTCAATCAATTGATTATGATTTATGGTTGAATGTACTTCACGGGCCATTTGTGCCGAGTAGTGGTAGCCTTACAGGTTTATCTTCGGAGGATAAGAGAAAATTATCCATGAATGCAAAGGCAATCAATATCCTTCATTGCTCTCTTGGCCCCGACGAATTTGCAAGAGTGAGTACATGCAAAACGGCCAAGGAAGTATGAGATCTACTAGAAGCCACACACGAAGGAGACATCTCAACCAAGCAAACGATGATTGCCCTAGGAAACTCGGAGTACGAATCCTTCAAGAAAGGGCCATGTGAGACAATCCAAGACATGAACAAGAGGTTCAACAAGATTGTCAACAAATTGAGTAAGTTGGGTAAGACATATACTACTTCCGAGCTTAATACGAAAATTCTATTTTCTTTCCCTAAAGAATGGCATAGTAGTATAGTGGATTTATTACTCAAGTGTGATAAAGCCGAAACCGCCCACATTTGGTCTTCCTTGTATTCTCACGAACTTTTGTTGAGAAAGATCAAAGAGGAAGAAATGCGTGAAAATCCCAAGCTTACCAATGCCTTCAAAGCTTCCAAAGACTCGTCAAGTGAAGAATCAAGCGAGTCAAGTGATTCAAATGACTCAAGCTCCTCGGAAGAGTCAAATGACGAGGAAGATGAAGAGAAGGCGATGAGAATGAAATATACGGATTTCCTCAAATGGAAGAAGTATGTGAAGAGGAAAGAAGTATATTCAAAGCCGAAAAAAGAGCGGCATAAGCCAAGGTAAATTCTTTTCACTTATTGGGATAAGATATTTTGTTTTGTTTTAATTATTTTCAAAAATAAAACCTTATCTCATATGTGCTTTTATTTGCTTTAGCCTTGGTTTGCATGATTAAATAATTTTTTTTGAATTCATCTTTAAATCATGCTTTTTAGAAAATAATCCCAAAAAACTTCTGGAAAAAATAAAGTTTTTAAACTTGCATCATTTTAGGGGGAGTTTTTATCTTAAGGGGGAGTTTTGTTGTAAATGCACCTTTTGCCCAATGATCTCCAAACTATCATTTCTTAATTTATTTTGATAGGGGGAGGGTTTCAAGAAGTTATACATGGTTAAAATTTTCAAAATGCCCTTTTTGATTTTGACAAAAGGGGGAGAAGATGTATACTTCAAAGTGGTGCATAGGCAACTTGACTTGAGTGCATTCTTGTGTAACTAATTGCATCAAACTTAAACTTTCATAAACACAAGAAAAAGTTTAAAGTGAGTATTTTCAATATGCTTATTCTTAGGGGGAGCTTGCTTGCATCATTATTTTACTCCCTCCTAACTCACTTTGAAGTATATTGTTTGTCAACATCAAAAAGGGAGAGATTGTTAGCCTTGGTTTGCTAAGCCTCATGTTTTGATGTTAACAAACAATATAAGAGCTTGATGTTTGTTTAAGTGTTTCAAGTACAACAAGAATCCATTAAGATTCGGTACTCAAGAATAAAGTTAAAACACCAAACTAGCGTAGAATATAGGTAGAAACCAATGTAAGGATATGATTTTATATACCTATATTCACAAGCTCAAAAACACTCACAAAATATGTTTAAAACCCTTTTATAATCATTTTCAAACATCCAAAAGGTTTTAAACAAAACTGGAAATGATTTAGACAAAAATGAAAAAATTGTCAAAATGGTCATAAGGTACCTAGGTACCGTATGCACGGGACCCCCCTACCGTGTGGACGGGACCCACCTACCGTAAGGGGTACCGTAAGAGATAGGTACCGCCAGAGAGTTTTGGCCTGAGAAGGTACCTAGATACCGTAAGCATGGGACCCCCCTACCGTATGGACGGGACCCCCCTACTGTATGGACGGATCCCCCCTACCGTGACCGTTGGGTTACTGTTCCTGATTTGTGATTTTGAATTAAATCAACCCTAATCACCTCCCAACGGCTAATTAACATCTTCCACTATAAATACAAGCCCAATCCTTCATATTTCTTCAAGAAACAAAGCTCTAAACATCCTCTCTTTTTATTCTAAGTGTGTTCATCCTTTTATCAATTATTTTCAGTATTTTGGCTATTTCAAGAGCCTTAAATTCCTGAATTTTATACACACACTTTGAGCTTGTGTTTCTAGTTATATACTCTCATATTCATAAGTTTGTATTGTATTTTTGAGAGAGTATAATTTCCTTCTACACCGGCTAAGTTTTGTTCTTCATTTTTATATTCTAGCCATTGTGTAGAATCCTATTTCGTGTTCTTCAAACACACCTTCTTACGGTCGAGGATAGCCGTTAAATTCTCACATTGTAACGGTCAAGGATAGCCGTATAAATCCTTGGGTAAAGGTTCAAGGATAGCCTTTGAAATCCTTGGGGGAGCGGTAGAAGATAGTCGTTAAATCTTCATTGTAAACGGTTCGAGATAGCCGTGGTGAAATCTCGGAGTGAATCCTATTGGCAAGGGTTGTTTGCCAAACTAGTGCGGTGCTTTGACGGAGTTCAAGAGGCCGGAACTTAGTGGATTCGGAAATCCTTGAGGAGGAGCCTCGAGGTACTGGAGTAGGGAGTTTCCGAACCAGTATAAAATCGGTGTGCATTTTATTTACGCTTTTACTTCTGCGTTTTATATATTGCTTCCGCATTTTCCAACACCGTTTTTATTAAACCCCGAAAAGATTTTCAACGCCTTATTCACCCCCCTCTAAGGCGTGGGCACAACGATTAAACCGACTAACAGCTACGAGCAGTTAATGATGAAGCTACGAGCAGTTATGGTTTATCACAGGTTTCCGTAACAATAATCCAACATGTTTTAGTCATGGACAACTCTATGTTGCAGTTTCATGAGTAACTAATCGAAGTGGGTTGAAGATTCTGCTATGCAATGAAGACAATATTTCCACAAATTGTGTGTGTGTGTGTGTGTGTGTATATATATATATATATATATATATAATGTAGTATATAAAGAAGTCTTTCAAAACTTGTAAAAAAGAGATGTTTTGTACCTTAAAATAATACTCCCTCCGTCCCTAAATAAACTTCCTTTATTGACTTTTTGGGAAATTAAGGGAGAGATATTTTGGTGTTGGCTTTCCAAAAATACCCTTGATGTGATGGATAAAAGTAAGATGTGATGGGTAGACTATTAGTAAAAAGGTATGATGTGATAGGTAGGGTATGAAAAAATAAGGGGTAAAAGTGGTTTTTTGAGGGGAAAAGAGAAGTTTTTTTTGGGAACAAAGAAAAAACGGAAAGAGAAGTTTATTTAGGGACGGAGGGAGTATAATCTCTATATCCTATTGCATCTCATTTTTTATCATTGAAAAATGATTTAAATTTAATAATATAAAAATGACCCGTGCAACGCACGGGTGTGCTACTAGTTAGATTGAGTGTACAATACAAAAAATTGACATACTCTACCGTCTAAACTCTATCCCGCACCCAATACAAAAATTTTTTGACATACTAATAATATTGAGGTATTAAACTAAAGTTTAGACGGTAGAAAAGAGTAGCCTCATAGCCTTTTGATGGATAAATTAAACTAATCTATAAGTAGTTCGCAAACTAATAATTTGAATATTTTCGGTCTAAACTATTATCACAAATTATTAGTATGCGAGGTACAAAAGGCGAAGAGGCTACTCTTTTCTTCCTGGAATTATCTTTCGGATCACGATTTTTAATAAAGTGAAATGAGGGTAATTGTAGATTCTATAGAGAAAAGAGAATTCGATGGGACTAATGGACCACATGGCACATACGGAGTATTTGTTCGATTGTTTCTTAAAGAAAAAAGTCCTGGAGTACAACAACAACAACAACCCAGTTGGATCCCACAATAGTAAGGTCTGGGGAGGGTGTGTGTGCGCAGACCTTGCCCTTACTCGGAAGTAGGGAGGCTGTTTCCAAGAGACCCCCGGCTCCACCTGCACAAAAATATGGAAGGGAACACAATATAGCACATATAAAGCGTCAAGTACAAGCAACAAGTACAAGCAATAGCAAAAGATTCTAAACAAATACAACACATTACAAAACAACCTCTACAACACCGAGCTCCTATCCAACTACTCTAATCCTAGTTTTCCAAAGGTTCCTATCTAAGGTCATATCCTCAGTCAGGTTGAGAAGTCCTAAATCCTGCCTAATCACCTCCTTCCAATTCTTCCTAGGTCTACCCCTTCCCCTGATAACCGGAATAGTACAAATAATTAAGGAAAATAATTATGGAATGAAAAAGATATACTCCGTATATCTATTTTTTTAGTTCTAGGCCCAAAGTAGAAGGGGGCCATGTCTCCTAATTCTAAATTTCTAAACTTATACACCCACCTTATTAGGGGGTTCAACACCTTATTACACCTAATTGTCTGGCTCTCTCTGTATTGGGCCATCGAAACCTTAGGTGTGCACCACTTTGATAGACACTAAAGCATATACAGATGATAATTTTCTGTACACACACAAATAATATTATTTGCGTAAAAAATGTCTAATTTTTTTGCACGGTTTAGGCATTTGTATGATATTACAATGTGCCGTTTCAAAATGAAATGGTATCAAACGGTTTTGAAGTCCATCTCGTAATGATACTGAACCATTTAATTTAGTAGCAGTCCGTGATAAAAATCAAACTAGACAAATACACTGAAACATGGGAAGCAATTATATAAAAAAAACTGGTTTCAACAAGGAAACTTCATTTCGTTTAATAGGTTTTCATTTGGATATGGAGCAACATATGGATGACATTGGATCAATACTGAGTTATAAGTGCTTACCCAATCAACTATAACAAGCAAGTTTGGGGACACCATATCAAAATCTCTAATTTTCTTTTCCTACCATTTTTTATTCCTTTTCCACCTTAATCAAACACGAAAAACTGTTTTCCACGTCATTTTTTCTCTTTCAAATTCCTTGAATCAAACTAAACAAAGAGTCAAAGAAGGAGATAAAAGCTGCAGGGTGAGCAAAGGAGTGAAGGCAATAACTAGGAAGAACATCACAAAAACAATAAGGTGAGAAGCAGCAAGATGACAAAGGTGGAGAAGGAACCAATGTGCACAGTAAGCACTGAAGAAGACGAAGCCGCCCTGGTTCCTCGCGACGGTGTCGGGCTGGTCACAGTGTTTACTCCTATCACATCGCCGGGGGGCTCAGCCGCGGTGGAGCCTGGCGGTGAAGCCAAAGGAGATGGAACTGCAAAAAAATTTATGATGACTTTTTTTAGGAGAGCAAAAAAAAAAAACTACTGGTAGATATATAAGAATGTGAATTTACTCTTTTTGTTTCTAATTGGTTTTGGATTGGAATCTCATAAGTCTACAATACTACAATCTTCATTCAAGACAAAGGCAAGAGAGCTTGAACTTACCAGGAGATGAAATGCTTCCACTGCTCACTGTATATATACATTGCACACATTAATAAGAAAAAAAAAGGAATTTGTCAAATCCATGAGAGTTGAGAGTTCTAGCTTACATTACAACAACAATAACCCAATAAAATTTCGCAATAGTAAGGTCTCAGGAAGGTGTGGTACACGGACCTTACCCCTACTAAAAGTAGAGAGGTCAAAAAGATCAAAAAACAAACTAAGGGTACAAAAAAATGTCATAAGACAAAAGGTACACAAAAGAGATGTATGAAGAAAGACCCGAAACATACAAAGCACACAACGACAAGAACAAAACTACGACCTCGGAGTCTCAAACCCATGTGTGGAGACTTCTTAGCTTCAATGTCTTAAAAGATGGTTATTCAACCCTATTTTAATGTTCCATAAAGCTAAAGTAGCTAATGAAAATTACTATTCCCAACCCAAAAATAGTCCATATTAACCCAAACTAAGGCTAAGGTTGATCTGTATTTTTACATTTGACAAATATATCTACTCAAATACTCTCTAACATGAGAATTAAAACATGACATTTGTATTAAAATAAAAAAAATCATATTTTAGGAATATATATCTAACTACAACTAGTTCCATCATCTCCGATGGAGCCAAAATCTCACCTGTTTTTGGCTTTGGGGTGTGATGGAATAAATCAAAATGGATATCTAAACTATTTGCGCTTCTTTAATTAATGAAGTAGCAGTTAGTCAAGCAATGCAGCTTTCGACGTTGAGTCGGGGGTCTCTTTGGAAACAGCCTCTCTACTTTCGAGTAGGGGCAAGGTCTGCGTACACACACCCTCCCCAGACCCTACTCTTGTGGGATTTAACTGGGTTATTGTTGTTGTATATCTAACTACAACTAAAACATGATTCATATACCATAATAAAATACGGCTAGATTCAATAGCCACACATTTTGAGTGGCCACGGAACTCACTTCCACTCTTCAATGCTCTGTTCGTAAAATTGATGATTCGTACCTCTTAAATCCCCCAGTAAACCCCGCCCAATCCCGACCCCAACCCATTTTGCACCCGCAAGTTTTGTTGACTTTAAAATCAAAATTTTTTACTTTAAAGCCAACTAAACTTTCAGGGTGCAATTAAAATGGGTGGGAGATGGATTGGAGTCGGGATTGGGCCGGGATTTACTGGAGAAGTTGGGAGGTAGAAATCATCAATTTTACAAACGGAACACCGTAAGTATCCGAATTGGAGCAGTGGCTTTTCCGTGGCTGATGAATGGGAATTGAGAGGAAGGGGGAGGAGGGGAAGAAAATGATTACTGGGGCAGGCGGTGGCAGAAGGAGCGGAGAGACGGCAAGCGGCGGGGAGGGACATAGCCCGGCTCACATTCAGAACCATTCCCAATTGAGCGCTTTTCTCGAATCCCTCGCAGAGACACTCGGCGTTGGATTTCAGCACCGTTTTCAGCCCGGAGCAGCACCTCCCTTCCGGCTCCTCCGCCGTGCTCCCGTTGGTGACGAAGGGGAGACAGTCCGCCAGGTTCAGCACGACGCTGTTGCAGTCCACCGCCGGCGCCGCAGCTTGATGTCGGGCGGAATCCGCCGTCGCGGCCCAAATCGCGAGAAATCCTAGCACTAGAGGCCCATATGTGGTCGAGCCCATTGCCATTTCCGAACGAGAAAAAAAAGATTGAGAAATGGGCGTTGGAGACAAAGGTGATGGATGAAGTTAGGGCCACACAAATTGTGGGGCTTTCTGAACACAAAATAGGAGTAATTTTTTAGAACGCTAAATTAAAAGCTCAATTTGTAATCAACCAAGCACAAAAAAAAAAACAAAATCAAGTCTTTTGAATATAAATAATGTTTTAATTCTCCTAAAAAAAGAATGTTTTAATTCTTAAAAAACGACTACATTCAATTGACGTGGAATCCAATATCATGAGATGAGATTAGTCACCTCCGTTGGACCTGAAACGACTGAAATTGTTTCCTACCCTTCCCCTACTCACAAATCCCTTCTGCTCCATCCCAACTCTACCCAGTCTATTTCGTCAAAATGTTACATTAAATACTATTCTATATAACATTTCGATGAAATGGAGAGGCAATTAGAGCACTGGATTAAGGTGCTAGTGGTGAAAGAATTAGAAATGCTTTTCAAGCCGGACAAATCATTGTAGACGTTCAATGTCATTGTATGACATTGCGGTTCAATGTCATTGGAATTGTGTTACTTGAAGTAAAAAAATATGTTTGAATTATTTTGTGGTGAGATTTTTCTTTAATTCTTTCCGAAAACAAAGTGACACAAACATCACAAATTTGCTATAAGATTTACGTAAAGAAATAGATAATTTCAAACATTTAAAAAGTGTAAATTTAAATTCATAAATGAGAAATTTATGAAATTTGGGTCATTTTTAATTCTAACTTGAAAATCTATCCATGGCAATATGTGAAGTTTCTGTCATTAAAGAAAGGAAAATTCTCCGTATCCTAAAGGCGAGATGTAGTCATGTTATTGGTCTAAAATCTATCAATATCCATCCAAACCAGACATCAATCCTACTTGGCTTCTTCTCTCCCATTTCCCCCTCTCTTCTATCAATTAATTAATCCCAATTCCCACCATTAAATCATCGTCTTCATAGCTTACTCCCGGTGTATATTAGTCTAACAATACTCAGTATTCCTGAAGGACGAGAAGGAATTCTTGCGGAAGTGAAATGGCGACCACATCCGCTGCTGTTCTACACGGCCTGAGCTCCTCCTCCTCCCTCTCGGCCGCCGGCAAGAACCGCCACGCCTTCTGGACCGCTCCTCCCGCCGCCAGATCCCGCGGTGCTTCCGCTTCCCGCAGGAGGCTGTTCGTTGTGGCGGCGGCCGCCGCCGCCCCTCAGAAGAAATCGTGGATCCCCGCCGTTAGAGGCGGCGGCAACCTTGTTGACCCGGAATGGCTCGACGGATCGTAAGTTTCCTCCTCAATCGAACCTTTTTACTGTGCGATTAGGATTGGAATTACTGAGATATACGATAATAGAATCATGAAATCGCATTTGGACTATGCAAATCTTCCCAATTGGAGAATCATCGGTTTCTGTTCGGGTTAATTTAGGGTTCCTTAATATTTTGGGGAAATGTTTTAGTAGATTCCATTTTCCTGAATGAATGATTCATAAGAATGCATTGATTGCTGAAATGTATTTCACTGCTCAGCCATAATTGAAAATGATCTCTCAAACAAGACATGAAATCCAAATTTTGACACATACAAAGAATGATAATATGAACAATCCAAATAATGATTATATCTGAAAGAAGTAGTGTCAAATTTTGTTGTCACAGACTCAAAGTTGATATGACTAAAACATGGTCCATTCTTGAAATGTTCAGGCTGGCAGGGGATTACGGGTTCGACCCGCTGGGTCTCGGAAAGGACCCGGCATCCCTGAAATGGTACAGGGAAGCGGAGCTGATCCACGGCCGGTGGGCGATGGCGGCGGCGGTGGGCATCTTGGTAGGCCAGGCATGGAGCGGCGTCCCGTGGTTCGAGGCCGGGGCGGACCCGGGAGCCGTGGCGCCCTTTTCCTTCGGCAGCCTCCTGGGGACGCAGCTCCTCCTCATGGGGTGGGTGGAGAGCAAGCGGTGGGTGGACTTCTACAACCCGGGCTCCCAGGCCGTGGAGTGGGCCACCCCGTGGTCCAAGACCGCCCGGAACTTCGGCAACGCCACCGGCGAGCAAGGGTACCCGGGGGGGAAATTCTTCGACCCGCTCTGCTTCGCGGGGTCCATTCGGAACGGGGAATACGTCACGGACTTTGAGAAGCTGGAGCGGCTGAAGGTGGCGGAGATAAAGCACGCCAGGATTGCGATGGTGGCTATGCTCGTCTTCTTCCTCGAGGCGGGGCAGGGGAAAACCCCTCTTGGAGCTCTGGGATTGTAATCTCTTTATGTACAGTGAAAGGCTTTAACTTAAACCCTTCTGTGATGTGATTTCAATGTACTTAGAAGTTAAATCCCCCAATTATGTTAAGTGTCAAGTTAACTTTCATCCCATTTTCTCACAAACATTTCAGGAATAAAAGGATTTTATTTGATTTCTGAAAATTAAAACCATTACATTAGCAGCTTGCACTAATGAGAATGGAAGATGACAACAAAAAAAAGGAGAGAAGATAAAAATAAAAATAATCATATCACAATAAGTTACTCTGAGGACTGTAATTAATTAATTGCTGAGCAGACTTTGCGAATTTCACCGTCACTCCCAGTTTTAACCTCAATGTTACTCATCTTCACCATGGACCGCCCGAACTCATAGTTGAGCCTAAGCCCAAGAAACCCTCTGAGGCCCAAGAAGCGCTGCACGAAAGTTTTGGTGGAACTGTCGGCCCACAATCTTTGGTCGGACTCGAGGACGCCGCGGCCCTTTTGGAGGTTGACGAAGTAGGAGTTGTCGAACGCGCCGACACTGCCGTCGTCGAGGGGGACGCGCCGGTTTCCGTCGCCGCCTTGGGGACAGAGGGCTTGAAGTGTAGGGAGGAAAGATGGGTCCACCGGAGGATCTGCGGTGGCGTTGAATAGTCTGTAGCTGAAAAACTGGCAAGCTGCTGTTCCAATCGTGTGTGCCCCTGTAAATATTTGGGTAATCAGATTCTAACTTAATTTCTTTAAACTATGTTAATTGATTCGGATTGTATGTTGACATTTCAATTATGTAGAATATTAAGGCATGCTCGTACGCGTTCTACATTTAAAATTCCGTTGAATTAATTGATGAATTAATTTTGGATGGTAAAATTAATTAAGTAGGAATTTTGATAAATTAATTAGGTACGTACCTACGAGGGAAACGAGATCTTGGGTGTTGAGGCCTTTGTCAGCGAACTTTTGCTTCTGGACGTCAACGGAGTCTGTAAATCCCGGCAGGTTCGCCGTATCCGCCGCCAGCGACACCCTCCCGTCCCGCCGTCCCGTCGGCACTTCCCAACCTAGCCCGCCGGTCTGCATGCATGCACCATATATACATATAACTATACAAGTGCACTTTAAAGTCTTAGCCATCTATATATGCCTAATATATATGCTAGCTTGTTCATATCTATGTGCATAAATATTGATAAACAAATTTTAAAACATATCACATACTCCCTCCGTCCCTAAATAAACTTCCTCTTTTTCTTTGTCCCCAAATAAACTTCTCTTTTCCCTTAAAAAACTCTTTTTACCCCTTACTTTTTCATACCCTACCTATCACATCATACATTTTTACTAATAATCTACCTATCACATCTTATTTTTACACATCACATCAAAGGTATTTTTGGAAAGTCAACACAAAAATATCTCTCCCTTAAATCCTCAAAAAGTCAAAAATGGAAGTTTATTTAGGGACGGAGGGAGTAATATTTGAAAAAGAGTGTCATTGATTTTATTTTTCGAATAGAAGTTTGACACTGTAAATGATGGTAATACAGCAGTCTAAGTTGCACCGAGACAGGAACAAAGACTTATACAGGGACGGGGTCTGAAGTGTGAAACGTCAATTTTTTCCATAATTTCTAAAGGATTTGGGTGTGGGGACGCAAGTACCCGAACATGGATGTTTTGGGGACGGGAAGCGGCACTTATTTGAAGAATATGTGCAACATAGACAACAATGTGAGTGGTGGGATTACGTACCAGCACAGCAGAGTCACGTGCCGCAAGTGCGAGAATGTCCGCACAAGAAACGACGCCAGGGCAAGCAGCTTCGAGCTGCGCTTTGGCGTCGTCGATGACCTCGAACCCTCTGAGCCGCAGGTTGGGCCCCGCGGTTCTCTCGGAGTTCGGGCCGCTGATGAGAACCGAGGCATCACACCCGTGGACGAAGCAGTCGTGGAAGATCATTCTCAGCAACCCGGGGGCAACCGTGGGGTCCGACCGGTAATGCGACGCCACCGTCGCTCTCACTACCGACTCCGCCGTCGGGCACGTGGAGCGGTAGAACCCGACGGTCGTGCCTTGGCCTAGTGCCCCGGTGGCCAGCACCAAGAAACAGGCCAAAACCGCCGTGTTGTGAAGAAAGCCCTTCATTTTATAATCTACAGTTCTTAAATTGGCTTTAATAATGAGTACACAATAGTGTTTGAGTTTTTTTTACTCTTAAAGGAATGATGATAGATATGATGAGATATTAAGTGTATTGAGAGGGATGGTATATATACACAACCCTATTACTCACACACGGCAATGATGAATATGACATGATAGGTGGAAAGAGTCCAAAAAATTCACTACATCAATTTAATCTAATTACAGGGGATCGAAATATTCTTTTTTAAAAATATTTTTAAATTTTTTATTGAGTTGAATATGTCAATGAACCAACTCAACCAAACCATAAGCTCAAGCTTGTGGTTGTGGCTCAGGAACAGTTATTTATATTCTAACACGCCCACTCACGTGCAGGCGTAGTCTTTTTTCGAGCCTTGCACGTGAAACCTTAATTTTTTTTAAACTGGGTGGCGCTGAATTTCGAACCCGTAACCTCTTAGTCAACGAGGCTCTGATACCATGTCAATGAACCAACTCAACCATAAGTTCAAGCTTGTGGTTTGGCTCAGGAACAGTTATTTATATTCTAACAGAATACTTAACATAATATTCTAAAATGAACAATTTACTTAAATAGCACTAAAACATAATGATGACATTCTTTAAATAACACCACATGTGTTTTTTCCCAATGTATTACTTTTAGTCATCATCCATTAGTCATTATTCAAGTAAATTTTTGCCATCATTGGACATTATGGATATTATTGAGTGCTATTTAGAAAATAAAACAATTTAAGTGCTATTTAGGGAAATGACTTGAGTTTTAGTGCTATTTACTGCAAATATTTCTTCTAGAATTTTGACCGCAATATTTAGAAAAAATAGATTGCGTTATTCTATGAAATTCATATCAATAAATTCATTTTGAAATTTTGTTTTGTAATATGACATATTTATACATATAATCAAATATATTAATGATTAAAATATCGAATTAAAATTTTACAAAAAATCAAATAATAAGTTGGAAAATTTTAAGAAAGAATACAAAAACTCAAAAGACTTGGTAATAGTTACTTCAATTCGATCTTAATGTACTCTCCTGCTGACTTATGCCCTATGTTTAAATGAGTCTTTATTACGGCTACAAGTCAAAGCAGATTGTTGAATTCACCTAAGATCTTTGATCTGTATGATGAACTTACATATATGCAGATTCGATACGCTAGAAAAGCACATCTTAAATGTTGAGATAAACCTCTAAAAAAATAAAATTTAAAAATATTATACAGATCGACACACATACACCCACACATTTATATGTATATAAATAATATTTTTAAATTCTTTTTCAACATAATACTTTCACTTACTATTAAAAAATCATTTTTGTCCCTACTAATTATTAGTTAACCTACCTATCACAAAAATATTCTTCCCTTCAATTTTTTAGAAGTGAAAATGAAAACATCTTTATGAGATGGAGCAAGTACGAAGTATATATTAAGACTAATGAATATGGATGAAGCATGAGATTCATTAGCTTACAGCACACCAACCTCGCTAGTGCGGGGGAATGTATAATTCCGTACATATATGACCATACATAGAGTTATTAATTTTTAGGAGATTTAAGGATAATATATTTTGGTATTAAATTTCCTAAAAAGTTCTTTGATTTGATGCATAAAAGTGGGATTTGATGGTAGATTATTAGTAAAATGGTATGATGTGATATGTAGGATATGAAAAGATGAGGGATAAAAGTGACTTTTTTATATAAATAAGAAATATTATTTGGGACGAATAAAAAAAGAAATGAAAAAGTTTTCAAAGACGGAGGGATCGGAGTATTACATACACTAATCAATAAATAAATTTAGAAAAATAATGAGTCCATATTGTTCATGGTTTAAAATAGTGCAACGTATTTAAGTCAAAATCTTCGGACTATTTTTTTTGCAACTAACCTACAATAATATCCCAATATTGTTTGATTTTGTCAAAGAGTAGAAGAAAACAGAGTAAAGAAGGAATACTTTAGGATTACTTTACTTCCTATATATGCACAATGTCAAATAATTAGTTCCTCTTTTTCTTACCCAAGTTGACAAATAAAAAAATACGAGTAGTTATTAACTCCACCGTAAAATTCTTGAAAATGAAGGGGTCAAAGAAATTATTTTGAAATTTTCAGATTTTGGAGTAGTGAGCTGTGAACTCAAGAAATTTATAATCATAATCTAATACTTTCTCCCTTCACTATATTTTTTAACGTAGTAATTGGTTTGTTTTATCGATCTAACGTTTTTAAATTGTGATCATAAGATATATATAATCCCTCTCTTTGAAAAAATTGATCTATTTTATTTGTACATATCACAAAACACTTCGATCTATCCCACCAAGAATATTTAAAATATTTTCAAAGTAACTTTTACCGGCAACAAAAGAGAAACGAGTGTACTATAAATATTTCATGACAAAGAGAGTATACTTGGGTGTGTTTGGTTTGATGGGGGTACGTGGTGGAGATATTTTCCTTGACTTACATTTTCTGAAGAAAAATTGATTTTCAATCATATTTTTTATTGTTTGGTAGAAAGAAAAAAAATCTCAAAAATTAAGATTCCAAACTAACCAATTCCACACTTTAAATTCTATTACACAGAAAAACAATTTGAATTATACGAGTATAAATGAAATCACGCGAAATTTTCCAGGTCATAAAAATGAAAGGGGTCTTATAGACTTTGGTGGCCTATGAAAATGAAAAATTGAAAATTTCAAATTTTAATTTAACAGATAAACTTTCTAATCAAAATTCAAATATTAAAATATTATATTAAACAATTAAAAATTAAAATTTAGAAGTAAAATTAAAAAAATTAAAAATTAAAAAATCAAAAATTAAAAATTGAAATTTAAAAATTGAAATTTAAAAATTAAAATTTTAAAAAATTAAAATTTAAGGTTTAAAATTTAAATTTTAAAATGTTAAACTAAAAACTAAATTTAAAAAATTAATATTCAAAATAAAAAATTAAAAATAAATTAAAAATAA